CGCAAACTGTCCCCACGCTAACCAAAACCCCATATCCAAGCTTGTGTCTGGATACAAATTCAAAGTGATGCATGCACAAGCCAACTCTGCCAATAAATAGATAAAATCCAAACAATAAGTCAACACCCACCAAATGATCAAATTGTGAGAAGCATGCCAGCCATTTTGAAACTCTCAGTCTCTCCCCTTACTAAAGTCTCATGGCTACTGATCTTTTAAGCAAAAGAAGTCTTTAAAAAAGAAAAATACTACGCTGAACAAATAGAAATAGCAGCAATAAATTTTGAACATGAAATTGCATCAAAGGTAAGAACAGATAATTTCTTACACAAAAGCTTATCAGAAACTGTCATTCACAACACTAACCTCACCCACTAACCAACTGTAATTGCCTAAGTCTCGCTCATTATCTAAATACAGATCTTCTGACTGCATCTTTCAAGAACTATGGATGGCAACTCCTTTTTGTAACAGTATTTTTTAGATCACACTGATCACTATAATGTATGTGGTATTTTCTGCGTGTACAGTAGAACCTCAGAGTTACGAACACCAGAGTTACGAACTGACCAGTCCACCATACACCACAATCAGGCAGCAGCAGAGACCAAAACAAAAACAACAACAACAAAAAAACCCAACCAAGTACAGTATAGGACTGTGTTAAATGTAAACTACTAAAAAAAGGGAAAACAGCATTTTTCTTCTGCATAGTAAAGTTTCAAAGCTGTATTAAGTCAATATCAATTGTAAACTTTTGAAATTACAACCATATCGTTTTGTTCAGAGTTACGAACATTTCAAAGTTACAAACAAGCTCCATCCCCGAAGTGTTTGTAATTCTGAGGTTCTACTGTATATTCCTGTAGAAGTAAATATAATTATGATCCATAACCAAACAGATAAATTCACCAAAGAAAAATATTGCATAGGCCAGATTTTTGAAGACTTCACCATCTATTAACTCATTATTCTCAGCAGCACTTCCTGGATCCTGAGTAATTTTGCAAAATTGGCTCCTTCATTTTAGATGCTTAAAATGGGAACTGAGCTCTTCTCAAAAATCTGACCACAGTTGGTCAGCTGGTCACTTTTGAAAATCTGGCTCTCTGTGATGATAGCTATATACAATAAGTCTGTTTGAACTCATATTCCTATTATTGCTACCTTCATCCTCTTTTCTCACTTAAGTCTTGTCTTAGATTGTTAGCTTTTCAAGGCTGAAACCTTGTTCCCCCCGCCTTTTTTTTTAAAAAAAAAACAACAGTGCCTGGTACAATATGGTCCTGAGCAATTCAATACAGCAATTCATAACTACAATAATATTTCAGCTTCGATCTTCTTCAGGAATCTCTCTCACACACACGTACCCCGCTTCAAACTAGAGCCATTTTCATGCCAGAAATAAACTGTGTCACTTTCCTACTATAGAAAATAAATGTTCCAACACTGGGGGAAATAAAACAAGTCCAAGTGAGAATTAATATTTCAACAAAGAATCCTTGAAGGAATGAGTGTGGGTGTCTGTCTGTGTAATGTCAGTCTGGGTTTCAACCCCTATTATCTGTGTAAGGCTCTCATTTAAATCTCTCATTTAAAAATAACTGAGTTCACATAATGTTTCATGTTTTGCTTCCATTACATAGTGCACAAAGTGCATTTCCTATCATTGTACTGAAATCTTATGAGATTTTGCTAGCCAGACCTGAAACTAGAGTTTGGGAACCACAAGAGGTTTCAGAGATTCTGTCTAGTTTTCGCAGCTTCCAAGAGTTCAGACTTGACTATATCCTAAGGTCCTTACTCTTTTTTTTTTTAAATTAAGTCCTTACTCAAGCAAACTCTTACTGACTTAATTAGGAGAAAGAACTGAGTAAAAACTGAGGAAGAACCTCAGGATTTGATTAGACACATTTTCTGAAACATTTTGGTCTGCAACTCAGGCTGGAAATATGTCAAAAGCTGGATTTCTCTTTCATGAGATTGCCTAGTTTTGATTATTACATTTGGTAATAAATCTGGGAGACATATTCTCATTTTGATGCATAACTTCCATTAACACTAACTGAAGTCATGTGCATACAACCATAGCCCTTGGGATGAGAATATTACCTTGACATCTATGTGGAATTTAGGACTTTTTCCAAAGTCACCTACAAATAGCTCATCAACAATAAACATCAATTAGTCTACAATCTGTCCTCCATGTTCTTTAATTTCCATGCAAGCTTTAATAGACCAATAGACCCAATTCAATGGTTATTCTGCTTTGGGATGCCTAGATATTTAAACCTGCCTTTTCTTCAAACTTGCCAGCAGCTCTCAATCTTCTGTGTTTATTGTGCCAGTACAATTGTGGGTTCCTGTTCCAAGCTACAAATGAGACAGCCTCATGGACCTACAGAAAACCAAACACAATAGCCATTCCCTTTAGCGATTACAAAGAAATAAAGATTTATATTTCTATAGAGAGAGATACCCCTTTCAGCTGGAGGACTTAATATCGTCAGAAAGGCCCTAAGGCGCTGCAAGAAAAGTTTTGTTAAGAAGGCTTTTGATGAGGTTTCTGCTGCTGCGTAAGTGCTTTTCAGGGACTTACTGTATCTAGAAGCTGGACTGGACCTGCCCATTCAAACAGTTTGACCAAACAGAGGAGGAAAAAAAGAACCTCAGACACACGCACAATCCAGGCTTTCTGACACTGAAAACTCTTATTATTCTTCTTTGGTTCAGATCGATTAACAAATAAATATCTTGGGAATGAGTTTATACACTGCATTTTTTCTCCCCCTCCCGCAAGTCACCTGACAAAAAACTCCCCTCTCCACCCCCAAAGAAACTAGGGTGATTAATGCTGGCTTTGAAAGGGTCACAGTAAATTAACTTTTTTGGGGAGGCAATTTCCAATGATGTAAAACAGCAGGTCTATCCCACAGTTTGCCTCAGGCTTTGGGTGGAGAGCCATACAAATCATCAACTATCTTTTTTCTCACATCTTCAGATGATTTTAATGAACATTTGGATGGTGAAAGATTTCCTTCTTAATATTCTCTGGCTATCCGCTGAAAAAGAACAATCAGACACTAATAAGGGTGACTTTGACATAGCCAGATGAAAGCACCACAGTAAGAGTCGTGTTGAAAAAAGTTTGGGATTTATGTTTTTTAAATGGATTGTTACAAATAGGCAGAAAGACATGACTGTAGCATCCTGTTTGTTGATGGAAAAAAAGAGCTGCAATCAACTATCGTATTATATTTTTCCTTTGCAATTTTTTTTTTTTTACTATTTTCCAGTTGATTAATGAACTAAAAACTGAATCTGATCTCTTGTTCATTGACTTCAGAAACACTCCCAGTGAATGCAATGGACATTGGATTGGGCCCCTGAGATTTGATAAATAGTTGAATTAGGCATCATGTACCTTAAGAAAGTCGGAGAAAACAGCAACAGAAATTGATAAAAATTAACAATGACTCCTTGATACCACCATAAAACTGGAAAAGCCACAATGATCTGCTAGCTGCAACTTGAAGGTGCACTACACTCTTAACTTCCATTGACTTCACTGAATGTGGAAGATACCCGGTACTTCACAGGAAGCACTCAGCACCTTTCAGGATGAGACTCCAAAATCAACTAAAAATAATTCTAAACAGTGATCCAAAGTCTCTTTTTGTGTGTGTGTGTCTCAGGTTTTCACATTCCAGTCTACTTTAATCAAGGAGAATACAATAGCAGCCATTAATATCTTTGCTATTTTCTCCTTGGCAAGTAGGAGATAATAATATCTGCAGATTCCCTATTGAATGCACGTGGGGGAAAATCATATATGACTGTTGTAAAGTCCCAGTTCTGCAACTGGATTCATTTGTACACCTGTATGTTATTGCCTTCCATGGGGCTCCTTCCACATAAATCCAATTGCAAGATCCATATGTAACTTTGTTAAACACTACATGAATCACTTGAGAGTCAGCAAAAATAATTAGTGCCTATGACCTTATGTCTTTAAAAATAGGGTTTTTTAATCCATACTAACTGCCAATATCTTCTGATGCCAGATTTTTATGGTTTCCTTCTGTCAACCTGTCATAATTAATCCCCCTTTTTGGAAAACAGAACATGTGTTATGTTATTGCATTTTTATTCTGATGGGCACAAATACATTTCCCCACACGTCTCATATACCCCAGGCAGGTCCTCTAGCTTAGCCTTTGCCAAGTCAAAAGCCACCCCCTCCTTTGTTTTCATTTTCTAATATTACTTTCACCGCCTCAGAGGTGGTAAAAAGAATATCATCCAAGCTTAGATGATCAAGACAGAGAGGGACACAGACCTCATGCAAGTGAAGGAAAGTCCATTTTCAAATCAACAGGAATCTGATTTCAGGCAAATTTGGAGATAAAACCAGATATACGGTTGTTTTAAAGTGGGCAAGTCAAAAAATTTTAGAAAAAAAAATGTTGTATCGACTCAACTTTGAGCCCATACAGCATCGAGATGAATCCATATCAATGATGCATTAGCGAGCAAAAGATTATGATGTCACCACAAACATCATGAAGTTACCATTTCCAAAACAGTAAAGCAGAAAAACAGATTTACAGGATTGGACAGGCCAGGACAGGGTGTTTTGTTTTTTGTGTGAAAGGGTAATCAATAAGGTATGCTAAACATTTGTTTTCTGTATTCTTTCTTATATGGCATACACACTTTTTACATAAAACAGGAGGACTAAAGATTTTAAAATAATAATAAAAGAAGAAGATTGGATTGAAATAATTCAGCTTGTATCTCTTTTTCCATTTTGATTTCTTTATTTTTTGTTCATTTCATGAATTGGGTTATTCCCCCTCAAATTTACTCATACCTCTTATATTCAACTTTTTGCTTCTATCCTTACAGTCCTGGTATATTTATTATATGTTTAAGAGGGGATGGGATGAAGGAGAGGAATAAATAAATAGGTGAAACTGCAGCAAATGGCACAAGGATACAGTCCCTTCCCGGAAAGAGGATTTTGTGGCGAACCATTTCTCCCATAATGCATCCCACAGACCATATATCCACTAGAACAGCAGAGACAGGGAAGTGTAGAAGGGGGAAAAAAAGCAAAGTTAACTAAGACACTTCACTCCTAAAGGAGGGGAAAAAGAGCAGGTTGATCAGAATAGTACAGTTTTTTCTCCTCCCACCAAACGCTAAAATAAGTAAATAGATAAAAGCACCATCAGGCTCAGTAAAATTGGAAAAATATTTGAAATATCAGCGTTGTCAGAGTTTTTGTTACACTAACTGAAATAAAAATATGCACCTTTTTTCACAGGAAAACCAACAGAGGTTCAATACAGTCTCTTTCTGATTCAGGCAACATGAAAAATGCACCTAGACCCAATGAACTCACAAGCAGGCTTCATGTGTTGGAAACTAATCAGCTGAAAGCATGTCTAATCTATGTTAAAACCATCCAGGGGGTTTCAGAGGAGGGCTTACTACTATGCTTTCTAATACACGTGAAAAAGGAAGGCATGAACTTGAAGGGGAGCTCTCTCGTTTTACCTCATCCTGCTCCTGAGATTGTGTGGAACCCACAGGGTAAAAAGACACAAAGCTAGCCAGAAAGTAAAAACAGAGACGCAATCCCAGCTGTGTTGGGTCTGCAAGGACAAACTGCACTTAGTGGGTGGGAAAAATACAAGGGCAGAGAATAAAAACCCAAATCTTTACTTTAAAAAAAAAAAGCTAGTGATCATCTGGAATCACCTCCTACTTGGCCTTTTGGGCCAGTTTATGGGTTTATTACTGCAGGACTGAATCTGAACCTGCAGTCCTCACTCACACTAGCTGTCCTAACTGGAACAAAAGTAAGGACTGCAGGTCTGGACACTATCCTACAGTCACTCAGTAGTCCAAACTCCTGCTGCAAGATCCATCTCTATGTAGAGGAAAGAACACAAAGTCTGGAATACACTGCCTATCCTGGATACTGTATAGGTATTGAAATGCAGAATGCTGCATAGAGTGAATACCAGCATATCTTATGAAGGTTTCTATGCTTCCATGCTTCCCATCCTGACTTCACGTACTGGATGCAGTGTGTGCACTGTTGCTCATCTGTTTGGTTTAGGTGGGGTTTTTCTTCCTTGAAATTGTACAAGGAGGGGGAAAAAAAGACAGATACTTGAGGATACAGAGTGCAAAGAAAGAAAGGATCAGCACTCTGAATGGTGAAGAAAAATCTATTTTCAAGAACATGCCATATTTTCCCAACTTCAAATCCTTGTTTTACGATAATTTTTTGTAATGTATAACCAATTTCTCCTCTTTTTCTTCTCCCTTTTTCCTCCTTTAAAAAACAAAATAAAAACAAACAAACCAAAACTTTTGTTTTTGTTGGTAAAACAAAATAAGGGTGAAATGTTTCATCTGGGAAAGGAGGGTAGAGGTACTGGGGGCACAGGACAGCTAAAGCATGCCTGAGGTGGGGTTAGAGTTTTCTTCTTTGTGGTAATTTTGGGTCCTTCCAAGGTAAGTGCAGCAAAATGGTGCAAACTATGCATCGTTAGCCAATCAGGTGCAGAGAGAAAATGAAAGCAGTGAACAATCTTCATAGTCAGCATACAAAGTGGGGAGAAAAAAGTGGGGAAGCTCATGTAGTACAGCAGCACAGGCTTGAGCAGAGGTGCAGAGAACAATCTTTCCCATTGACTTCACTGAGACCCGGATCAGATCCCTCATACACATCAGCTCCTCAGGTTTGCTGATCCATGTTTCCTTTATTCATTGTTTTCAAATTTATTTTATTTTTTTAAATGTTTGCCTATTTTATCTTGCTCAATTGAAAGAGAAAAGCTCCTTGCTCTCTTTGAACCTGATCCATGGCCCATTGACATTAATGGGAATCTCTCCATTAACTTCTAGGGCACTAGATCAGCCCCTTTGAGGGTTGCACACATTCTGAGTACCTCCGCAAATCTGTCTTTCACTTGATGACAAAAGTTCCCCAAAATTTGTCCAGATGCCACAATAATAGCATGAAACCAGAGGAAATTTCTCTGCTGTGTCAAACACAGCAAACTCATTAACAATTCCATTTTGTGTGAGAACCACACAAAGCCTGAGCAACTCATTTTGGAATAAAAAGAACCTAATATTTAGATTAGGTAATGATGACATGTGTGTTGATCCCAGTAAAGATTTTTGGAGGCACTAAGTTTATGAGAAAGCCAGGGTGAAACATATTTAGCACTTGTGCTCATTTTTTCCTAATTACTAACTACCGTATTAAAACCTGCATTGTGAATCCATGAATATTACCAGCAATTCATGTAATGAAATAGCTTACAGATGTGTTATGAGCATGCCTGTATTATCACTTGAGTAAAGAAATCCATCTAAAAAACCAAGCATACAAGGTCATTGTCCGCTGAAGAATGCTGTCAGTATTACTTCAAATTCTACTGCATGTTAATTTGGTTCTCCAACTTAAACTAAAATAGTTTTGAGCTTCTGCTACTTTCCCATTACATTGGTCATTGAAAAGATCTCTTCATCTAACAGGGAGATTGCTTTGGCATCAGAAATAGTATAATAATAGACTTTTTTCCACTACATTTCCTACTCTTCTTTCCAGCCTGGTCTACCTGACACCTAGACAGTTATAATGTTCAATTATGTTATAGAACAAGACCTACGTATTTGATAATGCTTTCCCTTTATCTCTCCTACAATGAACTCTTATAGGCTCCTCTGTGATATGGTAGCTCTACCTTCATCCCAGAACCTGTCCAATGACAGACAGAGACACCACCAGTAGATTTTTCACAGCAGAGCCCTCTACCTACAGCTAGAAGGATTACATACCAGTGAAACAGCAGAAAAGTAGTTCAGTTTCCTCCTCTTCCTCCCTTCTCTTTCCACTAAAGATGGGCTCAAGCTGCACAATTGAGCTCTAGATCTTGTATACCTAACAGCAGGTTGTTAGAGTCTGGGATGTTAGTTCAGCCTATTATACATATAGAAGCTACTCTTGAGATTCAAATCTGGGTCTGCATCTTGAAACATTTGGGAATGTTTGGATTCCAAATTTGGTTTAGTCCCATCTCTTCTTTCCTCCTCACTAGAAGAGGTCTGAGACTCAAAAGAGCTGGCGTTAGATTATTTCATCCATTTGGCAACCCTAACAATTCCCATAATGTTTCTGGGTCACAGCAGCCTTTATGGGTACACACTTTAGTCAGAAAGGGCTTCTTCAGCTGCTCAAGGGAGCGCTGGTCAATCACAGGTTGTTAACTTGCGATATACCATGTAGTTAAATTCAATGCAAATTGCACCACAAGTACCATCAGTTATTGCAGTTTGATTGTAATACTGGGAAAAGTCAGATCTAATGTTAAAATTTAAAATGTTAAAATGTTTAAATTCAAGGTGTTCTTTACTGCAATTATTTCCCTCTCCTTGTGCCCATAAATTGTCAAAGTAGCCCTCGCCCTGCAGGCCACATAGTCTTTGCTATTGAGGTTCAGCCCTACCATTCTCCTTGTAGCCCATTCCCAAGATGACCTCTGGTGCTCTGTAATAACGTGTCACCACATAGGGAGTCATCATGAAGCTGGTGCCTGCAGTCCTGGCCAGTCCAAAGTCCAGAATCTTCAACGTGCAATCGGACTTTACCACAATATTACTTGGTTTTAAGTCCTGCAAGAGAGACAAAGGAAAACAGACATGACTGCCATCTATGCACACTGGCGATCTGGATCCATGCTTTGGGTGGACCTCTAAACACTTCACTGCTCCACAGCTGCATGTGCAGTCATTCACTTTTTAGCCTGCCTCTGAATCCTGTTGTTGCTTTGGCACCCCCTATTGGAACGTGTGCTCTAGTCTTATAGTCCAGATCCTTCAAACAGCTTGCTTCCATCAAGGATGCTGCTGATAAACTGGAGAAATTTCAGAGAAGTCAGGGAATGATTAAATGATTAGAAAACATGCCTTTCCCAGTGACAGCCTGAAGGATCTCCATCTATTTTGCTTAACAAAGAGAAGACTGAGGGATGACTTGATCACAGTACTTCTAGTACTTACATGGGGAATAAATATTTGATAATGGGCTCCTCAATTTAGCCAACAAAGATATAACGTGACCTAATGGCTGGAAGCTGAAGCTAGAAAAATTCTTACTAGAAATAAGGCATAGTTTTTTAACAGTGATGGTAATTAACCATTGAAACAATGTACCAAGGGTCATGGTGGATTTTCCATCAGTGATAACTTTTAAATCTAGACTTTTTAAAGATATGCTGTAGTTCAAAAGTAATTATTCTGAGGAGTTTTATAACCTGTGTTATACAGGAGATCAGAGCAGATGATCACAATGGTGCCTTCTGGCCTTCGAAACTATGAATACTTTTCTCTGGATGATGGAAGCATTCTGCTGTTAAATTAATAGCTCTAAAAGGCTTATAGAATCAGGGTGATGAAATATTTTGTTTGTTTGCACTTTATTCTGAGTGGGGCAGTGCCCACTGTGCCATAAAAATTACTGTTTTTTGAGCAGAGGTTCCCAGGCTATTTTCATAATGTGGAACACATCTTAAGAGAAAGGTTGTCTCATGGACATTTTCCCATGCATTCAGGGTCAGCTGGACCACCTCCCATCCTGTTCACATTTGCATGGACCATTTACTCTAGTATCAACAATTGCACAGACCACCTATCTTCTCATTCACTCCTGTGGCAACTACAGCAATTGCTTACACGGAAAAATAATGTTGGGAATGTACTTAACATATGTTTACCAGTCTTTTCATGCATTTAAGCAAATGAAAACAAGGAGAACCAATTAAATATGACCAGACAGTTCTCCGTGGAACCCCACCAAATGATTCATGGACCACAGTTTGGACACCATCAGTTTATAGCATTTTAATGCACTATGGGTTACATGAGTTTAAACTGTCAGCCTACAGACAGCTAGTGACAGTTTTAGGAAAAGTGAAGTTATCGCCTCCTTCTCCAATAATCATAATCACTTGTGTGTCTTATACTACCTAGGGCTCATTCCCCTTTTCCTTTTCTCTTTTTGATTATTAACTTGACAAACGTCCTCATCCCTAACATACAACCATGCAGCTAACTTGCCCGACATGTAGGCTGTTGACAGATAAGTTTCAATATTTACATTCAGAAGGCTGGGTCTTGATGAAGGGGTTGACTCACAAAGTTTCCATGTTGACATGACCAAGATTTTTAACAACAATAACTATCTTGTCCTTCAAAGTGCAGTCCCCTTACCCTGTGAATGATTCCCGCAGAGTGAAGGTGCTTGATCCCACACAGCATTTGGTAGAGCAGGTAAGACATTCGTTCATGGTCTAATTCCATCTGAATCACCTGGCACAAGTTGGCATCCATCAACTCCATTACCAGGTAACTAGATAGGAGAGTAAAGTCATACCATTATTGCCTGCGCAGGCATGGAGCTTCTAGTAACTTCTGTGCAATTATCAACATTCACTTCTCTCTCTTCACAGTCTGCTTCTTTTTTATTTCCACTGTGAGATGGTAACACAGATGGAGAAAAGGTTTTGAACTGACCATTCACCTGAGCCCCAGCACAGAGCTCAGTAATACTTGAACCATTCTGTGACTTGTCTCCCATTGCAGCATTCCAAGAATGGCCCATTGACATCCTTGGAGTATCAAGGATTACCTGGCACACTCCACAGCACGGTGACTGTGCTCTACCTGGGCACACAAGGCAGCAGGATCCTCCAACATGCTGACGCCACATGCACCAAACTGTGAGCCTTTTCTCATGAGAAATGGCTATCGCAATTTGATCAGAAGATTTCTTCCAGAGATCACTGGACTGATGGAAGAGGTAGGAAGGGTAACTATATATTGCCACAATAAATTTGTTTGAAGTGTTTGTAAGACTGGGTGAGCCCATATGGTTTTAATGCCAATTAACTAATCTGACTGTACACTGTGCTTTTGCTGAATAAGATTGAGTGATAGTCTTAATCAGATTTTAACTCAGTCCTCCAGAAGTGATAGGTTAATACATTAACCCACCAGCTCAGTTCCTAAGGGACATTTATTCTTAAGTAGAGATGGACCTTAACTGGAACACCGGATTCAAACTCCCTCAAACTTTGGGATGACTCTAGATCTAGATTTATATGTGAGCGTCCTAACTCAGGCTCACCTCACCAATTCTCTGCAGAGGACTGAAATAACAAGATTATTGCAATGGAGCAGCAGATCTTTGTGCAAACACATGAACAGTACTTGCCTGACTCCAAACAATGCTATTAACCCCTTCCTTTTGTGATACTGCAATATGGAACAAGGTGCTATAGACTGAAAGGCAGAAGCCATTTAGCTGACATAAAACAGCAACATTTGTGACTACCTGAAATTTGATTCAGGGCAAGTTCATTAAATGCAGTAGTGCCCATGCTGTAGACAAAGTTCAGTGGAGCTCACATGCCGCCACTATTTCCCAAGGCAGAAAAATTTTACACAGTCAAGGTTATCCCACAATAAATATCAAAGGGAAAAAATGTTTCACATCAGTCTCCTTTACCAGGAAATTATTTCAAAGTGAATCGCCACCTTTTAAACCACTCACACAGCTCAGAGAGTTATACAACAACATTTCCTGAGCAAACCAATAACACAAAGGAACAAAGTACACTTCCTCGTAGATGCTCATATTCCTCCACACTACCTGTCTAAGAACAGCCATGAGCATGCTTTGCGGGCATGTTTTTTCCAGCACTTAGATACAAAGGTTACAGGTGCCTTATACATACCTAAAATAGACCAGTCTACATTTTCAAATTCTATCTAAAGCATCATCTTCACAAGATAATTTTCCAGAGGAGCTCATCCTTTTTATTATACTGGGATTTGTATGTTCACTATACAATACCAGGGCCCACCTCCCTCTAAAGCTTTAGTGTAATTACTGCCCGTGTTACTTACACATCCTGGAATTCCTCCAGAGATTTCTGTGGTGTGAAGACATTTAATAAACTGATAATCTGAAAAGCAGAGTAAGACAGGGGGAGAGAAAGGGAAGATAAACATGTGCAGTTGATCACATTTTGAAGGACAGCTGTATTAAATAATAGCATCTGTTTTTCACTGTTCAATTTGCACTGACAAGTCCTGCTATAGTTGCTAGTAAGCAGCTGGCAAATTTCAGAACAATTTTTCAGAGCTCCACTATTGTTCAGGATGCATTTGAAAGGGTACGCGAGAGAGGAGTGGTGATGGACAGCAACCGGTCAAAATGCTGAAGGCATTAGTCTTGTGAATTCTGGAGTTGCAGGTTCAAATTCCAGCCTCAACTCAAACAAATGTGACAGTCCTTGTAAAGTCACTGGCTATTTCTGGTATATCAAGGCTATGTGTCTGAGGGGAGAAATAATCAAACATCATCCTATTCAACACAAACACAGGACTTTCCATTCTCTCTGACATTTCTTAAATTTTTTGGCACAGATGCTCTTTCATTAAAAAAAAAAATCCAATTCCCAGCTGTCTTGCTGTAATACGTAGAACCTCAGAGAGCTGTGGAAAGTGGCCAGAGGTGTCCTGTACACTACTCTGTCTTTTAAAGTGAGATTCCAGAGAACACAGCCAGTAGGGAATGCTGCTGACAGGAATCTGCAGGAGAGCTGGTAGTGCCTGGGAGGCAGCACAAAGCAACAGTACCTCTAGGGTGGGAAGGTTGTGGGACTTGGGACCTGAATTCCCTTCCTTTCCATGTGTGTGGGGGGAAAGAGAAGGAAGAATTATGAGGAAACTCCATGAAAAGAACCTTACAGAGTCTTTATCCCCACTTGGTCCCCTTGGCAGGCTTTCCTCGTGGGAAAACGTGACCATCTGGGCTTATATTTTTTAAAGAAAGCCTTAATTTTCTTTCTTACTGTTCTATCCGCTTCTTTGCCTCTGCACTTTTATCTTTCCTCCACCATCTTTCCTTGCTTCTTCCCCGTTTTCTTAATATTTTTGAGATCTCTCTCTTCTATTGTTCCTTTGAAAGCTTTAACGACAGACAGCTAGAACTTAAGAGCAGGTAATAGGTTTACAGCTGTTGTGTCACATACAGTAGAACCTCAGAGTTACGAACACCTCAGGAATGGAGGTTATTTGTAACTCTGAAATGTTCATAACTGAACAAAATGTTATGGTTGTTCTTTAAACATTGTTGACTTACTACAGCTTTGAAACTTTGCTGCTTTTAATTTAAATGAAAAAAATGCTGCTTTTAATTTAAATGAAACAGTTTCCTTACCTTGTCAAATCATTTTTTTAAACTTTTCCTTGTTTTTCATAGTTTATGTTTAACATAGTACTGTACTGGCATTTTTTTTTATTTTGGTTTCTGCTGCTGCCTGATTGCATACTTCCGATTCCAAATGAGGTGTGTGGTTGACTGGTCAGTTTGTAACTCTGAGGTTCTACTGTATAGTACTTTTGTAATAGTCTACTTTTCAAATCAACCCCATCTTTGTAGCCTTCTGCCCCTTCCAGTACATTAAGAATCATGGGTAACAATGCACCATGCAGCCTCTAGTTATGTGCCAAGCACAACTCACCCAGCTCGGCATTTTCAAACTAGCGTGCAGGGATCCAAATCATGCAGTTTCCATCCAAGCCAAAGGGAATGAGACAGCTAGAGCCCTGCACAACTCTTTGAAAATTTAAGGATAATGCAGTGTTTAGAAAAGTACAGCAAAATAACTCTAGGTGGGCTCTGAGAAGTGTCTGCCAGGCACACTATTCATCTGTAATTTAAAGGATCAAACAAATAGTCACTAGAGATAAGGTAGTAACAGGAGACTGGTGGTAAATTACTATTTGCAACCTTCAGAGCAAGTCTTTGAATTGCACCGATTTTCAGTCCCTGCTCTTTGTGATTTCAGGGCTACCACTCATTGAAAGAAAAAAAAAATGTGCAGCCAATTCCTTTCTCTCCCTGTGAACTAATGATTGAGAAATAGTGTGTCAAATCTCACAGTCTATCAAGCTTCTCATGCTCTTTCATTCAGTTTGTGTGGAGAGGAAGAGTCCTTTCAGGGTCTGTGACAAGTGTTTATAGGTAATGAACTGTTATTAATTTACTCTTAATGGAAACTAATGTGCACTGTCGATGATTATTATTATTTGTAGCATCCCCAGTGTGCTAGAATCAGTCCACAGACATAGGAAGATACTAGCCTTGGATCTTAAGAGCCGGTATGCTACAAATAAAAGGACATGCTTTTCTCACATGAGTAGTTCTACTGATTTCTTTGGGACTTCCATACCATGGTTTGGCCAATTATAGAAAAAAGGGCAGAAACAGGAGTGGCGAGTTTGCACAAAAAAGAAACTAGCAGAGAAACATTTGAACAATGAGATGGGGTACCCATGGGTATCCCATAGCCACAAGCAACACTACACGGTATCAAACATTTCATTCCAATCACTGAATACGTATGTGGGCACCACGAATGTACACCCTTATGATGCCATTCCAGTACAACTCTAAAGAAAATGTTTATTCACAAGGCAAGCGGAGGTAAGGAGAATTAAGAGACTAAAAATCTGCTGTCATTGTTCATTTCTTAAGATTAAGAAGAAATAAAACAAAATAGCACGTGGCTTCAGAGATTCTGGTTACACAGCATTAGTATGAACTATCCAAACTGTTGGCAATGAAGTAATCAGTAACAGCTTCTTACATGACAGAGGAAAAGCATATCAGATTCCCATTGTGCTCCATAGGCTCTTTACAGGATTATCAATATAGAGAATCTTCATAATGTCAATAAACCAAATACTCCAACATAGGGGGCTAGGATTGTGACTTTAGGCAGAGCTCTGAGCAAGGGGTGTGCTTTCACTGCACCACCACAGAAGTAGCTCCTGGAGGTAGCATGATTCAGAGACATTCCCCTGAGTCACAATCCCTTTCCCGCTTCCTCCATGCTCCTGGAAGGATAGTAATTTACTGCTGGCCAATACCAGCAAATAGAGGGTGAAGCCAAAGCTCCATCCATTCTTTGCCCACCTCCTCTGGAGAAGGAGCAAGCAAGGGAGTAGCCATGCTTATTCACATGTGCCAGGGCCCAAAGTTAGGGTAGCCCACGTAGGGTTCTTACAATATGTAGGTGTGTAGTCTGGGTCAGGATCTAGCCCTTAAAATAGCAGAAGTCATAAGTTAAAGTATCTCATTACAGCATGAAAGGATGTGACTTTTTCCCTAACAAATCAAGCACATAACATCCCCCGGTCCCCACAAGAAAACTTACATTTTTATGATTCACACACTTCATGAGGACCAGCTCCCTGTAAGCTCGTTTGGCGTGCGTTTGATTCTGAAATGGTCGGCTGAGCTTCTTAATAGCCACATTTCTGTCAAGGACGGCATCATATGCAGCGCTGCAGTGATTACAGATACAGGATTTATACATTTTAAAAGGATATTCTTCAGTTTTAAGGGTGAATGGGATGTCTGGAATTTCCATTCAGGTGTCTTCTGAATTAATCAGAACTACAGAGACAGACACGGGAACAATGGTCAAGGGAAATCCACACACGCAGAGGAAGTGAGATCTTACAGCAATGGAACAGAGTACACACCATTACTTATAATTAATTTCAACAGCAGTGTAAGATTTACATGCAAAGCAGGGAAAGACCTATTCAACATAAAAAGTCACTGTAAAAGATGGATTTTACTATAGACTAGGAAGCAAAGAGATTCAGAAGTATCTCTCTATAGGCAAGAGTTCTCATCCTTATTTGGAACACTGGAAGACTGTTTAGGCTTAGAATACACCTGAGTTTTTGCTGTCTTCACTGCAAAGCACACCTCTTTATGACTGCATATACAGTATCATTTATAAGAGCCAGCAATTATTTTTGTTAAATTGACGGAAATTCAAAAATTACATTAATTACTCAGAGATCTGCAATTGATTGTAAATAAGCAAGTGCCTGTTGCATGTGATCTACAAAAGATATTAGAGATGGAATACCTAGCATGGCCACAATAAAACTAGTGTTACTGGAGTGATCCTGAAACCAGAACATAACTTTCCTACTCATAACTCCATTGTCTGTGATTTTGCATACCCAGTATTGCCTCTGAAATATTATCTGGATGTATGTTTGGTTTAATGTTTTATTCTTATGATAGTAAACTCACTAGAGAGCTATAGTTAACTCATGCTAAATTGATAAGGACGCTAGTAAAACCTTCCATTCTCATGCCAAGCTAATGCTGAAAACAATAGCATTTGATCTGAATAAGGAATAAGTGAGGAACAAGGAATAGGTCCTAAGTTAAATTTCTGGAAAGTCATTATGTTGTTTGCAGACACTCAAAACTCAAAACTCTGTTCCACATGCAATATGCATTTATTTGCTCTTGCCTTCTCTAACATAAATATACAGTGGCATGTCTATATAAGAAACCCAAACAAAACAAAAAACATACTACCAAAACAAGATAGTCCACTACATACATTTTTCCTCTGGGAAGAGGATGAGAGAACAAACGTGACAGAAGGCAGTCATATTACTTAATGCACTCAGATACTGCAGTGATGACTGCCATATAGGAAGCTACACAGAATAGAAGGACTATTACTATAGCTTTTCCCACCATCATTAAGGACTCATTCAGCAACTGGCTCAGTGAACAAATCCCAACTTGCTCTAGAGAGAGTTAGTAATAATAATAGTCCCCTTTTGATTTAATTTCTTAAACCATTTCTCCAGAGTGAATCATCATATTCCAATAATACTGCTACTGGAAATGAAAACCTTTCAGAATAATGCTTACTGTTTACATATCTGAATTTTAAAAATTAATTTGTAAGATGTGTCTGATGAGAACTCAAAGAACATGAAAACAAATTACAAGAAAAAGCAAGCAAACAAACAAACCCAGGCTCCAATTGTTTTCAACCAAATATCTGTCTTACTTAAGTCAGCAACTAACAAAGTGTGTATGAAACTAAGTGTTTATCAATGCTCTTTATGATAATTTCCCTCCTCTTGGTGAAGTAATTCAATTTTGTTTTAGACAAAAAGAATTACGTGAACCAAACTGTATAATTTACCAAGCATTCTGTGTATGATCTCAGACTGTATATTATCAATTGCCATTGCGTTATACCACCACACATCAAGAGCCTAAGGAATCATTTCTAGGGAGTATTTTTCTAAAAGCAAAGAACAGCATCTTAGTTTAATGGACAAATTAAACTGAAGTTCAGAGGATAAATGATTCTTTTCAAAAACCTAATTTCTCTCATCCATTATTATTCTCTCATCCATTAGTCTCTTATGCTCCTCTGCAGTAATCGGCTTTCCCCCATCTCCTAGTTTAAAAACTGCTCTGCAACCTTTTTAATGTTAAGTGCCAGCAGTCTGGATCCACTTTGGTTTAGGTGGAGCCCATCCTTCCTGTTTAGGCTCCCCCTATCCCAAAGTTTTCCCAGTTGTCATAGATGTCCTGGATTTCAGTTTCTTTCCTAGCAGCCTAAATTTGGCCAACAGGATGTCTCTCCTACCCTTCCCTATGTCATTGGTACCTACATGTACCATGACATGTACCATGACCACCGGCTCCTCCCCACACTACACGTAAGTCTATCTAGATGCCTCGAGAGATTCGCAACCTTCACACCAGGCAGGCAAGTCACCATACGGGAATCCCAGTCATCAGAAACCCAGCTATCTATGTTTCTAATGATCGAATCTCCCATTACTAACACCTGCCTTTTCCTAATGACTGGAGTTCCCTCCCCCGGAAAGGTAACCTTGGTGAGAGAGGATACTCCAACATCATCTGGAAGGAGGGTCCCAACTATGGGAAGGTTTCCCTCTCCTCCCGTTGACTGCTCTCCGTCCCTGGGCCTTTCATCCTCCTTAACAGCGCAGGGGCTGTCTGACCGGAGGTGGTACAAATCTACAGTGTCCCGGAAAGCCTCATTAACGTACCTCTCTGCCTCCCTTAGCTCCTCCAGTTCCGCCACCCGGGCCTCCAAAGCCCCTACGTGGTCTCTGAGAGCCAGGAGCTCCTTGCACTGAATGCACATATATGCCACCCGCCCACAGAGCAGGTAATCATACATGCTACACTGAGTGCAATAAACAGGATAGCCCCCAATCTGCTGCTGGGCTTCTGCCTGTATTCTCTCCTACCTAGGTTAATGATCGGGCCTGTCATAAATATAAAGGGAAGGGTAAACTCCTTTGAAATCCCTCCTGGCCAGGGGAAAGCTCCTCTCACCTGTAAAGGGTTAAGAAGCTAAAGGTAACCTCGCTGGCACCTGACCAAAATGACCAACGAGGAGACAAGATACTTTCAAAAGCTGGGAGGAGGGAGAGAAACAAAGGGTCTGTCTGTTTGTCTATATGCTGGTCTTTGTCGGGGATAGACCAGGAATGGAGTCTTAGAACTTTTAGTAAGTAATCTAGCTAGGTATGTGTTAGATTATGATTTCTTTAAATGGCTGAGAAAAGAATTGTGCTGAATAGAATAACTATTTCTGTCTGTGTATCTTTTTTGTAACTTAAGGTTTTGCCTAGAGGGGTTCTCTATGTTTTGAATCTAATTACCCTGTAAGATATCTACCATCCTGATTTTACAGGGGGGATTTCTTCATTTCTATTTACTTCTATTTTTATTAAAAGTCTTCTTGTAAGAAACTGAATGCTTTTTCATTGTTCTCAGATCCAAGGGTTTGGGTCTGTGGTCACCTATGCAAATTGGTGAGGCTTTTTATCCAACATTTCCCAGGAAAGGGGGGGTGCAAGTGTTGGGAGGATTGTTCATTGTTTTTAAGATCCAAGGGTCTGGGTCTGTAGTCACCTAGGCAAATTGGTGAGGCTTTTTACCAAACCTTGTCCAGGAAGTGGGGTGCAAGGTTTTGGGAAGTATTTTGGGGGGAAGGACGCGTCCAAACAGCTCTTCCCCAGTAACCAGTATTAGTTTGGTGGTGGTAGCGGCCAGTCCAAGGACAACGGGTGGAATATTTTGTACCTTGGGGAAGTTTTGACCTAAGCTGGTAAAGATAAGCTTAGGAGGTTTTTCATGCAGGTCCCCACATCTGTACCCTAGAGTTCAGAGTGGGGGAGGAACCTTGACAGGGCCTTTGTTTAAATCAAGGAAATTTTGCGATTGACATCAGTGGAGTCAGCATTTCACCCTACCTATTTAACTCTACCACAGCTGAAAAAACCAGCTCAAAATGTTGAGATTGAAATATGACACACAGTAAAGTGATCTTTAAATAACCCTGATCTACAGTGCTGAAACCTATGTCAGGAGTCAGACTGGAGTGAATCTTTAATCTTGAAAGTGTGCGTGTTATAACAAAAGTAGTGATATAACTTTAACTGACATTCAAGAGGAAGAGCAGTGACCAGTAACCTGCATACCAGAGTCAGAGTATTTTAAAATAAAATCCCTTTTCCCAGGCTTTCCTAGGACTTCAAATTCCCTCTTCCCTGATTTTAGACACCTACCACCATTACTATACTCTCTGAAGCAATCTCTTTCTGAGATTCAAAAAGCCAGATAATTTTTTTCCACTGTAAGCAAGATGTTATTGGACATTTGGTCCATGAATTGATTTATGGACATTTAGACACACAATCGCCATATTCCAAATTGAGATCCCAATTCAGAAAAGCATTGTTATTAAACTGATCAAGTGGGAATATGGAGTGTAGCATTCCATCTTGTAAATGGAATTTTTTTTAAAAAGCACATCTTACATTTTCCTTGAAGATAGTTTAAAAGAAGAGGAAAGTGTTTAACATAATTGAAAATTAATCACGTACATGGTTCTAAAGGTTTTATGAAACTTCAAAACACTGTAGATCTCTACCATCCCTACACAGGGCATGCTCTAAAACCCATTGGAGTCAATACAGTCTTTCCACTTACTTCAATGAGCTTTAAATCAGGCCTGTATGCTGTAACATCCAGGAATAATTAATTTGAGCCTGAACAGACAAAAGAGGAAATTTCGGCTTTGTGGTCAGGAAGGAATCTTCTCAACATGCGTGGCTAATTGGCAGGGACTTTGGGTTTTTCCCACCTTCCTCTGGAGCATTACACAGTGGTCTCCTGTGGGGATCGGGTACACGGAATCCCACATTATGAATTTCCACCAAGTATAGAAGGTCAGGTAGTGATGAACCTTTAAGCTTCCCATCTTCTTCTACCTTTGTATGGTATGTTAATGATCATTACCAAGTTCACCATTTACCAACAGTTACATCAAAGTGGTATCAGAGTAAGTACAGTAATTTCCCATCATAACTACAGGGAAATACTGCACCATCTCTCATGCTGTCCCCAGGGGTCCGTACTGCGACCAGTACTATTCAACATATTTATAAATGATCTGGACAAAGAG